CTGCGTGAACGGTGGGACTTTGCTGTCTGCGTCTCCCAGCAGATGTCTGGGTAGTTTAGGTCCCCCGTGACTACCGCCTCCCTAGTTTTTATGGTCCCTGAGAGCTGCCTCAGGAGCCCCAAATCTAGTTCTTCCCCTTGGTGTGGGGGTCTGTAGCAGACCCCTACCACCAAATCGCTTTCTCCTTGACCTCCATGTAACCTAACCCACAATCCTTCTACTTTCTCCTCCTCCAATTCCGTTTTGATAAGGGTCGATGTATATCGCTCATTGACATAGAGCGCAACCCCTCCCCCTCTCTTCCCCACTCTATCCTTTCTGTACAGCTTATAACCCTCAATGTGTACCGCCCAGTCGTGGGAAGAATCCCACCAGGTTTCTGTTAGCCCTATTAAGTCGTAGTTGTTTTCTGCAAGCAGGAGTGCTAGTACATTCTGCTTGCTCCCCGTGCTCCTAGCATTAGTGTGTAGGCACTTGAGCCTTGTGACTGGCGCCTTTGTTGCCCCCCGGCTCTGCTGCCCAAAGGGCCTTACCTGCTTATTGCTTACCTGTGCTCTATTGCTGGCCGCCCCATGGATTGCAGGTTCCCGATGTTCTCCTTCTTCAGGCTGGGCTGTCCTTGTGGGTGCCACATGGTTTGGTGGTCCATGGCTTCCCCCGCCCTCATCTTCCCCTCCCCCTGACAAGCCTAGTTTAAAGCCCGCCGGAGGAGATCCGCCAACCTAGAAAGAACACACACTTACCTTTGGGGGATAGATGAAGCCCATCCCAACTGAGCATCTCTCGTCGTGATGTGCGGGTCATTGTCAAGGAAGCCGAAGCCTGCCTCGAGATGCCATTGCCAAAGCCGCCAGTTGGTCTCTCTAATGCAGTTCTCGTGTCGTCTTCCACGTCCACTCACTGGTAAGACAGAAGAGAATACCACCTGTGCATCGAACTCCCTCAGCACACCGCCCAGAGCATGGTAGTCCGAGTGTTCTAAGTAGAACGTGGAGCAGACTCAAATGAGTCAAATGAGACTCAAATGAGTCTGCTCCAATGAGTTCAAATTAGAAGGTGAACAAGCATATCTATAGGCACCCACTGCTACTAAGTGCTTCTGAGAGTATCCTTAGTTGCCTTGGCCTTAACTTACTGTCTGATGCTATGATGCTATTCTCAGAAGAAGTGAACTGCCTTTTAAGGATGCTGCATGTAGCAATGGTAGGGGATACTGCAGATCTTTTTGCTTTGGGCCACCTGTCACAAACACACAATACATTGAGGTGTTTGTGGAATGTAATTTCTTCAATTTGTTTTACTGACATGGCATGTTTGGTCTCTACATATAGGTAGCATCAAGCTGTATTTTGCTTTATCATCCTTAAGTCTATATAAATTGTGGTATTTAATATAAATGTATTTCTTATATGGTATAGTAGAACCAGGATTGCATAACATGATAATAAGTTTTAGAGGTTACTTCTTAAATAATAGGTTTTATACCTCAGAGAGGATTAACACGTGAATGGCTGAAAAAAGTAATCGCTGAGGATTAGCATCTGATATGGGCATGGTTAATGGCCAATCATGTCTTTTCCAGACAATGATGAATTTACATGTTACAAGGACATGAATGACACCTGGCTATTCGGACTATTCAGGGAAGGATATCTCACAGTTAAGTGAGAGATGTTATCCTAAGGATATGTCTGAAAGGATGTATGTATTTTCCTGGTCATAATTAGATCAGGAAATACTTCTGGTCTGGTAAATAAACACACCCTTTAGGAGACAGTCAATTATATGCATAGTATGGACTCCCCAAGAATCCAATGGATAATACATGTAAATAGCCAAATAAGAAACCATACTTAAGCCATGCTGTGACAGCAAGTGTTTTTCTTTAGTTTCCCTGAGCATGAGGAATACCTCAGCCAGTCAGCTGGGTATTCTAGCTACAGGAGAAGTAGCAAGGATCCCTAATAGCAAGGTCAGAGGCAGGAGCTGCAGTCTAACCTGCTGAGCTGAGTAGAAGCTGCGTTTTTAGGCATGGGCACATCTAGGATTTTGAAAAGAGGGGTACAGATGATGTGGTGCATCATCACATATAACACAATGCATATTTTTATCAAGTTAAAAGAAACTACAAGCTTTACTAATAAGCTAGTGGCTTAGGGCCATATTATTCAGTTTAAGATCAGAGCAAAAGCAAATATAAATTTACTATATCGTATATTATGTATAAAAAACAACAAACTTGCAAAAGCAAAAAATCATAAAAATATGTTGTTTCATTAGTCCTGTAGTCATTAGAATTAAATAGGCATCTTTTTTCCAGATTTATAAAACAAAATCCAGCCTTCTTGAGCATCTTGAAAGTGCATCCAGTGCTTCACTGAAAGCTATTTCCACACCTGAGTTAACATTTTTAGCTACGGTTAAAAACAGTCTGTAGTGCTGTGAAACAAGGAGCTACATTAGCAGCAGCAGCTAACAGACAGCAGAACTGCAGAAGAAAGGATAGCTTAATTAATGGAACATTAAGACCATTATAAAGGGAAGAGGGTTGTTAACACCTTTGGTAAAAAAGAGTTTAGAAGGAATCAAGCAGAGTAGAATGAGCTATGAAGTCAGTGTCTCCATCATTGCTGCCGAAATAGAAATGCTGCTACCACTATACGCTGCTACCACAATAAAATCAGATTATTATTCTGATATTTCCTTTTGTTTATTTATTCTCATCTCTCTTTCTGGTTACTGATTTAATATTTTTGCTCTGGCTTTTATAATAAATATTTTACTATCTTTTATAAGTTATAACATACTATTGTCAGTGATAAGTATGACTTCAGAGCATTTGACCATACAATCAGACCTCTTCTCAGGAAGAGGGGAAGCTACAGTTTCTGAGTGTATGACCAGATAAGGGTGACCTTTCTCTACCTGGCAAAATCCCCTCTACAAAAGAGTTGGTAAAACTTAGATGAGGCAGGTAAAGCTGAGGTGCCATAGGTCAGGGAGGTGACCTTTGGAGCATCTTAGTTTGTTCCCAGTGGTCAAGCAGCAGATGGCAGAGAGGGGTTTGGGGATGAAGGATACCCCTGAAGGTGTGGGAATGCTCCAGGAACATGTTTCAAAGGTGCATTAGACTGAATCTGGGGTCAGTGTGTGTCACAACAGCCCATCACACACTTGGGAGAGATACCTGTGAAGGTTAAAGAGCTGATGAGTCTTCCTTAATTTGGCTAATTCCTGATCATGCATTTTTCAATTTCTCTTGTTCTTTTATTGCAAGGCTTCTACTTTATAAAATTGCAGAAGAATTAACTGAAGATGATATTGTTAATGTAAAATTCCTGCTGCAGACCAGCATAGCAAAGAACAAACTCCAGAACAGCACAGTAAGTGTACATGATCTTGACATTGCTTTATGTAATAATCCTAGTCTTTTTTTTTCAGAGGGAACGGGAAAATAGGCATGTAGCTGTGAGCTGGACTCCATTCCACAGTGGACACTTCTTTCTCTGCCTTGTGTTCTGAATCATCTTTGGTCTCATTTTCCCCATTCTGTGTGTGTCTCCTTGTGCTTGTCCTCTTATTTCCACTTCCCTGTCTTTTCCTCCTACAAGATTCAACCATTTTTAGAATATTCTTTTTTGAAGTGTGCCCAAAAGACTATGGTATAGTCTGGAGGAAAAAGCACAGAGTTCACGTGGTCCTTAGTTCTAATCTCCATTTTTCTGCTATTCTAGAGTGTTATCCTGGGAAAGTTATTTCAGCTTCTGTCCTTTTCTTTAAGGAAACAACAATAATTACCTTGGGGTACTGTATTTGTACAGTGCATGGAAGATGCTAAACACTATTAACGAGCACTCTTCCTGATGCCTCTGTCCTCCCTGCATTAAAGCCCTTCCTAAAAGCCCTACTTGTGGCCTGGCACCTCTGGAAAAACTGGCAGATTTTCTTACAGGTATAACAAGTAATTAGAAATAATTGTGTTTTATTTATTTGAAATTAAATGTTTGGTTTGAATTTAAAAATATACAATAGTGAAGTAAATTGATTTAAAAATCCACCTTAATTACATCTGTCCAAACCCAAAATGTAAATGTATTAGAGAGAGATAGACCATGCTGATATTACTTTAACTTAATCTGGTAAATTGTGGGGTTAAGCTACGCTGTCTTATGTGCATCCCCATTAGGAGTTTGTATGTGTTTATCACATCTATAAAATGAACAGCCTTGTGTTGACTTCATTGGGAAAGGCAGCCAAGTCTCATCTTGACTCTCTTTTCTAATTCTCCCCTGAACCTGTCCATAGCGCCAATCTGTGCAGGAAACTTGCCTTCCTTTCTGTTTGAAAAATGGCTAATATACTATGAGTATTACCTAAAACCAATACTGAATAAATGCAACATACTTTTTTTAAAAAAACAGACAGTATTGAAGATCTTCATTGAAATGGAAAAAATTGGGATAATGAATGACGGTGATTTGAAGGTGCTGAAGGACATTTTACAGAGACTTAGATGTGATCTGGTAAAAAACATTAATGCCTATGAAGAAGAAATAAAAGGTACAGTACAGCACAGTAATTCAGTAGACTAAGAACCTAGAATCAAAGGAGTTGGAGACAGGAAAGATGTATTAGATAAATTGTACCCCTCAAAAACTAGTGGAAGGCTGTTTTTGACCAATCTAGGTTTAAATATCTTTAAGAAATAGGCATCCATCATTTCCCTTGGGAGAATAGGCTGCAGTCAGGTGGATCTCACTGTCAGGAAGTTGTCAGACCTTATGCTCCATCAGCCAGTGGGAAGATTATTTGCCCCAAGCACAATGGAAAGGTACAAGAGGTAAGGAGTTTTATTTTAAACCAAAATTAAGACAATCTGAACACTTAAAATTAGTGCGTCTTTGGCTTATTGTGGCTGAGGCAGCAACATATTAAATTTATAGGCTAGATCCAGCCAAGTTAATGACTGGCTGGCAAACAGAGAGAGACTACATGGATAACTTTTCCATAGCTGCTTTTCATTTTCACAGGGCTCAGTTGTGTCTGTTTCTACTCAGATCACTTGTCTAAGCCATCCTAACAATTGACTTGAAGTTTTCCCTCCTAACTCATCCACACATGCTCAAGGCAGGTAATAGCAAAGTCTAATCTTTATTTAAAAAATAAGTTCTCCCACCAGTGGGGAACATCAGTGTAAACCAGTGATTCTTAACCAGGCTGTTGATGCCTTGACATCCTTTGAAGGGTGCTGCAGGGTACAGCACAATGCTGGCACTGTTAGGTGTGCAAACATGATTCATGAGATAAACCCAGAGATTTAAAATAGGAATCTGTAGTGTTAAAACACTCTGAGCTGTTGCAATCTTTCTGAGTTCTTTTAAACAAAATGATTGCTTTTATTTTTCCACATTTAAGTAATAAGTGAAAACTAACAGCTGGGATTTTCTGAAGGGCACCTTGAGTCTAATGGGGGGCACCTTGAGTATAAAAAGGTTGAACCACTTGTGTAGATAGAGCACTAGTGCTTGAGCACCTGTTATTGTCTAACCGTGCTCAGAATCGCTCTTGACAAGCCAGAATAAAAAATATCAGGGGCCACCTGAATCCATGTGACAGAAATGAGTCACATGCTGCTGCAGTGTGTAGCAGTGCAGTTGGGGAGCTTTCCATTCACGTCTAGCATAGATAGGCTTATAGTTCAGAGGAAAAGGCTTGATTTATTTTTCTTTTCTCCATCCTACCCAACCTACAGGCATGTTTTATCACCAGTACAGAAGTATGTTTAAGCATAGTTGTTTAAAATGGCTGTGGCCCATCTACACGATTAAATTAGAAGTCAGTGCTTCCCAAGGAGTAACTAATGCCTGAATAAAGTGTTACTCCCATACACATGATGAGCTCTTACCTCACTGATGTGGGTACACTGGTAGTGGGTCAGCAGTACCAATGCACGTGGTTGTGGCAGAGCCGATTATTTCATAGGCTGTATTTTGCTGCTGGCCACTGATCAAAGGAACAGATTAGAGCAAACTAGTTATGGAAAGGTGTTTTTAGTCCGCACTTCCTCCCTGCCATGGGTGTGTTGCACTGAGTCTCAAGGTTTGGGGTATCAGTGACAAACCTAGAAGCCACCTCTGCCAGTAATTGCACAATAATCTTAGATCTACCACAGAGCATCTTTCCTTCAGGAGTAAGCTTATGCACAGATTTGGTCGCCACAACATAGCAAAATCTGGATTGCTCAAGACACCCCTATTGAAGTGAGATTTCTGCAATGAAAGAAAATTGCCACCCCACTATTTCACATCAACTTACCGCTGCTCTGAGTATTTTACAGTGTTAAATGTGATATGACCTTTTTGACTCTAAAGGTTCTTCCATGTTCCTCATTGGTCCTGGTCATCAGGAAGTTGCCTGCTCCAAACCAAATGAATCTGTTGACTTGGAGGAAATGACAATACCCCAGGTGAGAGATCCTTGACACTTACTTTTAAAATGCTGCTCTCCTCCTGGCACTTGGGGTGAGGGCACAAACTTCCAAGGGATGCAGCTTTGTACAGAAACTCACACAGTTTGAAAAACTGCTTTGTAAGTGGGTTTTATAGGACCTGGTAGACCCTACTCCACCCTTCTTCCACAATGCAAGTCTCAGTTCTGCTCCTTGCTGAATTCTTAGGAGCAGTCCCCTTGTGAAGCAGTAAATGCAGCAATGGCTGCTGTCAGAGAGAAGCACTAGGTTTCCCTAAGAGGCAGTAGAGTGGCTGAAGTAGGCAAAGCTAAACATCCTTTTTTCTCTCTAATTATGCTAACTTACTGGAACGGGACACACTAACTTCACCCATTCCAGAAGATACACAGCAGAAATCCCCAGAGTAGAAAAGACCACAGAACTGGGGAGGGGAGGCGGGTACAAAGCACTTCTCCCTTTCCTCCCACCCCAAAATAACCAGCCAGGAACTGGGGGAAAGGAGAAGAGAAATCTGGGAGAGGAACCATGACTCTGACTCCCCCATTCCCTGCCATCCTCCTTCAGGCAGAGCTGGCCTGGATTCACTGGCTCCCCCTTCTCTTCTTTCCCAGCCCCTCAGTCTGTTGTGATTCTCTGTGGTTTAGGCAGATGGGGAACAATGTGGGCTTCACACCATTTCTCTTGCTGCTTTCACAGTGTCTCAGTTATGCTCTGTACATCTCCACAGCTCAAGAGACCCTATAAGATGGAGAATTATCCTCATGGCTATTGCGTGATACTGAACAACTACAATTTTAAAGATCCTGATAATACCAGGAGTGGTGCAGACAAAGATTCTGGTAAATATTTTGTTTGCCAAACTACTGGGGAAGCTTTCTGAGGGAACGATCCCTTTGTCTAAGGGAATGATCTAATTCTGTCTCTTATGGAGAATGGTTGAGCGATGGTATCATCTCTCTTGCCTTTCACAAGCCTCAACTCACTAATTCCCTTCCATCGTTGGTGTGACATGTATGTTGGCCATTACGGAAATGGGCAGCCCACTGTATGCCTTCAATGTAAACCTATGTCTTCAGTGTAAAATCAAGTGGAGTCAAGATGAACGGAGTTGTGATTGTGATACAGCCAGGCAAAGCAACACTCCCTATTGTCCAAAGCTGACTTTGCCTTGCTACTGCATTATAAAGACTACAGGGTCTTTTTTCCTCTAGGATATTACAGTAAGATAGATAACTCATGTTTTTTACAGAGAGATAGCTAACTCATCTTTAGTATTTCCCCCCACTAGTCTGCCAATCTCTCAATATTTGTTTTCATTTTCTTGGACAAAAGATGTTAAAATGCGCCTTAAGGAAAGAAAATTTGTCTGTTCCAGGAAGAAGCTATTATTTACAAAAGGTAGATTTACTGCTTTCTCTTGCTACCTTATTTTGCCACTTGCTGATGTCCCTTTTCTATGGCAATCCTAAAAAGAGGCCTAACAGAGACCGATTGTTAAAGTTCGTGAGTTCCCAACTTTCAGTTAATTTAATTTATAGTCAGCAACTGGAGGATGGAATTAGTCCACCCTGTATGTTAAAAAGGATACTGATCAGGCAGGCAGCTGCACTTTATTGCAGCAAAGCTCCAGAAAGAGTGACTTTGTTACCTTTATCATTTGCCTTTGAGCCCTTCTTCCTGCAACAACTCCATATGTAGCTGAATATACACATCCTGCCTTCCTAATGGTGTTTCACAGAAGTGCACATCTCTGGATTTTCACCCTAATGCCTTAACAATTTTTTTTGTTTCCCAGTTGCCCTCTTTTAAAATTAAGTTAAAATCTACTTGGGCTGTCTCTATAGGTCCTTGCCTTTGTGAAAAAGCCAAATTCTGTCACCCTTGATCCATATGGAGTTGTTAATTTGCCCCCCGCCACCGCCCCGAGCCTCCCCTACATACTGCCTATGCTGTTAGTTGTTTCTGGTCTTTCTCCCCCTATTTCATAGCCTTGGAAACTCTTTAGATCAGGGGTTGTCAACCGGGGGTATGCATACCCCGAGGGGTACTTGGAAAGGGGCTAGGGGGTATGTGCAGGTGGGTGGGGATGGAGTGCCACCACCCTGCACTGCTGCCTCCCAGGAACAGGCCCGGGGCTGTGGGGGATGAGGGCAGCAGTTCCCCTCTGTGGGCTGCACACAGTTGCCACCCAACTGGCTGGACGCGGGGGTGGGGAACTCACACGCGGCCACTGCTGCCAACATCCACCACCCCATGCCACTGCTGCTGCATGCAAGTCCCCCACCACCCAGCTCCTGGTCTAGCTGGTACCTCCCTCCACCCCAGCTGGTATCTCCCTCCACCCTGCTCCACCAGAATTGTACCTAGAAGGGGGTATACTCCTTAAAAAAGGTTGAAAACCCCTGCTTTAGATTTTAGATCTACACATAGAGATCAGTCTTCAGCAACAGCTAGGGTTTCAGCTGTAGTTAAACAGGAAAGAGAGAGTGAGTTAAGTTAAAGATTAGGCACTGTTCCTGCTCTATACAGCCATAACTCTGGAAAAATATTTTTTCTTAATTTTTGCTTTTCAAAAACAAGGTGCATGTTTTATTCTGGGGTAAGTTATATGAGATGAAATACTGTATTTTGCAATAAGTAATAAGTAAGACCGGGCCACAAAATGCTTAGACTCAGGAGTCAAGGTATATGTCATCTACCTAGACTTTAAGAAGGCCTTTGATACAGTATCTCATTCTGTTCTCATAAATAAACTGACAGGCTGTGATGTAGATGTTTACATGGTCAGGTGGGTGGCAAATTGGCTTAGGGGTTTCACCCAGAGTGTGGTGGTGGACAGTCGATATCGACCTGGAAAGATGTGGGCAGTGGAATCCCGCAAGGCTCAGTCCTTGGACTGGTGCTGTTCAGTGTCTTCATCAGTGACTTGGAAAAGGGCGTGGAGAGCATCCTGTCCAAGTTCGCAGATGATACCAAATTATGGGGCAAAGTTAAAACACCAGAGGGTAGTGAATGGATTCAGGTGGATCTGGACAGGTTGGAAAAATGGGCAGAACAAAACAGGCTGCAGTTCAACAAAGACAAGTGCTAAGTGCTGCGCCTGGGCAAAAAGAACCACCAACACACTTACAGGCTGGAGGATGACCTTCTCAGCAGTGCAGGAGCAGAAAGGGATCTTGGAGTTATAGTTGACTCCAAGATGAACATGAGTCGTCAATGTGACGAAGTGATCAACAAGGCTAACTGCACTTTATCATGCAGTAGCAGATGCATGATAAACAGTTCCAGGGAGGTGATGCTTCCCCTCTGTGTGGCACTGGTCAGGCCGCAGCTGGAGTACTGCGTCCAAGTTTGGGCACCGCACTTCAAGAGGGATACGGAGAATCTTGAGAGGGTTCAGAAGAGGGACATTCATATGGTCAGAGGTCTGCAGGCAAGGCCCTATGAGGAGAAACTGAGGGACCTGGATCTCTTCAGCCTTCGCAAAAGAAGGCTGAGAGGTGATCTTGTGGCTGCCTATAAATTCATCAGGGGAGGGCAGCAGGGAATAGGAGATGCTCTATTTACTAGGGCACCCCCTAGAGTAACCAGGTACAATGGCCACAAATTGATGGAGAGCAGATTTAGGTTGGACATTAGAAAGAACTTCTTCACAGTAAAGGTTGCCAGAATCTCGAATGGGCTTCCCAGGGAGGGGGTACTCTCCCCTACCTTGGGGGTCTTCAAGAGGAGACTGGACAAGCACCTAGCTGGGGTCATCTGACCCCAGCGGTCTTTCCTGCCCAGAACAGAGGGTCAGACTCAATGACCTACTGAGGTCCTTTTCGATCCTAGCATCTATGAATCTATGAAAACAATCACCTGATTGGGAGTCAGGAGTGTATTCTCCCCATCTTGGTCACACTAGTCAGGATCTCGAAGCCTGTTGGGTCTTTTCCTATGGCATGTGGAGCATTCACCGGCAGGGATCACCTGGCCATATTTCAATTTGCTGTCCATGTCTAGCATTTGTGGTGCCTGTCGTTCTCCTTTTTCTCTGCTCATGACAGCTAGCTTAATCTAACTGAAGTCTTGTGACTAGATACAGGAGCAGCCATGTCAGACTCAGTGGTTAATGCCATACGGTAGGGCTATCTAAATGATCTAATAGTTCCTGGTGGCCTTGAACTCTACAAAGCCTTCAACAAATTATAAACCACACGTGACAAAGCCCCCACTTACAAGACAAGGCCAAACAAATAATAAAAATTAAAAGCAAAAACAGGAAACCTGAGATGGCTTGGAAGCACAAGTTTAATTGGATGCCTATCTTGCTGGGATCATTTGACCTCAGCTGACCTCCTGCACCTTGGGCAGGGGGCTGAACCCAATGATCTTGCGAGGTCCCTTCCAGCCCTAATGTCTACAAAATCTATGACATTGCTAAGGATATTAAACCTGCTTTTGTTTTGTCCAGTATGCTGCTTAACCCAGTTGTATAAGTAGTAAATACAAAATTATGAATCTCTTGGAGCAACATGTTGTTCCAAGAGGACTAGCAGTCTGAGCAACTATAAGGTGGGCTTATTGATGGGATCACAAGACTTCCCTAACTGCCTCATAGCTGTATCCAATTCTTTGATATGATAATGAAAGTGCAAGCATCTTTCTTCATCACTGTTTGTGTTGAATGAGGCTGCCTCTTTCTCTGTTTAGATGCAGACAGAAATACATTTATTGTATAATCAGCCCCTTGAAAGTGCTCTACAGTAAGGCTGTGCAAAGCTTCAGTCCCTGATTTAATTCAGCGGAGATTCGGCCCAATTCAGTGGCCAAATCTCCAAATCCAAATTGAATCAGAGGACCCTTTAATCTCTCCAAATCGATTTGGAACCCTCCGAATCAATTTGGAGAGATTTGGACAGATTCAGTGATTTGGATGTAGATACAGCTTTAAATGTTTTTTTCTACATACCTCCAGGTAGCTGGGGCTCTGAACGCTGCAGTGCTGGGGCAGATGCAGCATCCCATAGAAGCGAGGGGTCTCCCCAGAGCAGCAGACCTGGAAGTGGACCAGAAGCACTTCCGGGTCCACCGGACAGTGTGCTGGGGGGGCCTCCCGTGCCCCCCTGGCTCAGCGACTGTTGCTTCCTGGGTCTGGGGGGGCACCTGGGGTCCCCCTGCAGCCAATCACTGGGCCAGGTGGAGGCAGGGGAGGGGCCCAGAGTGCTCCACGGCAGACCTGGAAGTGGACCGGAACTAGTTCCGGTCTATTTCTGGGTTTGCTGCCGAGCATGCTGGAGAGCCTCCCACGCTGCTGCGGGATGCTCTGTCCACCCCTGCATCACAGCGATCACTAGCTGTGCTGCTACCTCAAGGTACGTAGAAAAAACTTTTAAAGCTGTGCCTGTGTCTGAATTGCTGATTCACTGAATCAGCATCAAATTGTCAGATTTGGATTCGGCCGAATCGAATCAGGGACAGTGATCAATATCAGCAGATTGAATCACTGTCCCTGATTTGGGCTGAATCTGAATCCAAATCAAACAGCATCCATTTTGTACACCCCTACTCTACAGCCATTCCCTAACAGAAGTACACAGCTTCAGAGCACTCTGATCATGTAACAAATTAATCCTTATTGTATGAGGGTTCAAATGAAGGCTCTCCAAAGCAGAGCACCTTCATTAACTTGTGTCTGCTCCAGCGGCTGGGCTGTTGCAGACCAGCCCCACCTCTGGTGTTGTCTCAGGACAGGAGGTGGGGAGAAAGGCAGGGAGGGAGCCCAAACTGGTGTTTTCCCAGTGTGCACTGGAGTGGGGGTAGGTGGATTGGAGCTTCCTTTCTCCCCCAAGGTGGGGGGCTCCAATCCACCTGCCCCCATTCCAGTGCAGACTGGGCAAACACTAGTCTGAGCTCCTTTCCCTCCCTTCCCCGCCTTCCATCCTGAGACAGCATCAGGGGGGAGGGGAGGGGGGCTATGGGAAGAGGCTGCCAACACACAGCCTCTCTTGCTGGATCAGCTACAAATTGGAGCTTGATCCTCCACCCTCCTGACCCAACAGTTAATGTCTGTTGGGTTGAGAGAATCAGTCTAACACATGGTGCTTTTGGGTTGGGAGGATCAGTCTAACTCATGGCACTTTCTGTGAAGCATCATGATCTAGACCAGGGAGTTGCACTTCTGCTTGTGCCTTCTTTCTGTTAAATAAGGCTATCTCCTTTTCTTCCCCAGAGGCTCTGAAGAAGGTCTTTACATCCCTGCAGTTTCAGATAATAGAGCACTCAAACCTAGAAGCAAAGCAAATGTTGGAGATAATGCAAATGTATAGCAAAAAAGACCACAGCAATATGGACTGCTTCATTTGCTGCCTCCTCTCACATGGTGATAAAGGCCAACTAAAAGGGACTGACTGGAAATCTGTACCTATCAAAGGGCTGGTCTCCTGCTTCACTGGATCTAACTGCAAATCACTTGCTGGCAAACCCAAGCTCTTCTTTATTCAGGCCTGCCAAGGCACACACAAACAGCAAAGTATCTCTGTGGAAGAAGATAGTTGTCAAAAACTTGAGACAGATGCTTCTCCTTTGCCTTCAGTTCCTGACTGGGCTGATATCCTAATTGGCATGGCTACTGTGGAAGACTATCAGTGCTATAGGTACACAGACAGAGGCAGTGTGTACATTCAGTGCTTTTGCAAGGAAATGGAATCCCTTTGTCCACAGTAAGTACTATTCTTACTCCCCATTTTAATGACACTTTAAGGACGGATGAGTAATTGGAGTGCATTTGTCCTGGAAATACTTAAATTTGCTATGGTTTCAATTACATTTTCTACAATAACTGTATGTTGTACTTTTTCTCTTTAAGACCCAACATGGTTCTTTAGTTTCCCCAACAGTCTTTTCATTAAGTGAGGCAGAATTTGTGACTTGTCTAAGATTATGTGAGTCTGTGGCAGTCCCCAGCTCAAACCAGCCACCTAGTTCCCAATCCCCAGCTGAAACTTTTAAATCCTCATCTTCAGTCCCCCCCTTCCAATTTGTCAATATTCTGGTTTAAAAATTAAGATAAATGATGTCTGGAGACAAACCATGTGGAGAGGGGTATTGGACAATGTATTTATATATTTCTCCATGTTATTTAAATGTTTTCTCCTGACCATATCCAAGGGGCACCCCACCATTTGTTACCAGTCTTACATTGAGAACACTTGCTAAACTTCTTTCATCCTCAGTTATGTTGAATTTAAGAGTTACAGAGTGGATCATACAAACTTAAGTGACCAACCCTATAAGGATATAGGAAATACCAGCTTTGCCCAAAGGATCATGGTATCAGAGAAAATGGGTATAATTCTGTGTCTTTGCAGGCCTAGTCTGTGAACCTGTATGTTTGTTCTGTGCAACATTTTTTATTTTACTCCTTTTCCAGCCACGTGGATCTGGTGACCATCCTGACAAATGTGAACAAAGATGTGGGAGACAAAGTGTTTCAGGGAAGTAAACAAATGCCAGAAATAATATCAACCCTGCGGAGACAACTCATCTTCTAGACCCCAACAACACTACCAGGCAACCAGAGACAGGAAGTCCATGATGTGTGACATTAGGAGTCACTGCTGGGAAGGGTTGAATTTGCACTTCAGCAGGATAACTGAATTGGATCTGTTCAGTTAGGTCCTGATCCTGCCAAGGTATTCAGGGTCCTCAGCTTGGATTTCCATAGCTGTACTTCCTCAGTCTCCTAACAGCATATGCAAATAAAAGGGACTAGAATAGACCCCCATCTCTCTACTTCAAGAAGACAGGAAGATGCTCAGGACCTTGTCAAGATTGGGCCCTTGGTCCTTATTTCACATGAAATAACTCCCCAGTGGACCCTGACTTGGAAGCACTGTTGGATTTATACAACTTGTGTCAGAGCAACTAGTACTATCTACAATCATGAAAAAGATCTGTAAATTTGGGATGCAAACTGAGGGTGCCATCCCAGGAAAGCTTCACATGGTTCTAGCACCACTTTCTTTGCCAGTATGGATTTCTTCTGGACTTGTCATGGTTCTCAGGAAAAAAACCCACATCCTTTCCCAGAATGGCTAGGGAATAGGATACAGACATAACATACTTAACCAGCTCCTTTGGGAGGATGTGTTTTACAAGCATTAATTAATTTCATGAGAATCTCTGTTTGCTTTACAGGCATTACTTAATTCACTTTAACAGCACAATAGCTTTCAGGATTTACAACAAAATGTAAAAGGAAGGGCTCCCCCACTTTTCCCTGGATTCTCTCCAGTTTCTCTGTAGTGAATAGCTATTTGACTACCAGAGAGGTCGGGAGGTAGGTCTCTTTTAGAGGCAGATGACTTTGTTACTTTCATGTGTGCTTCTCCCTGGCTCCATGAGCATTGATGGTTGGCTCTGGGCAGTAGGGATCCCTTTCCTTATGTTAGATGTCAATAAAGAAGTTGTGGTTTGTACCTAACCTTGTGCCTTGTGCCTCTTTTTCCCTGTCTAATAGATAAGATGTCCTGGGGTGGGGGCAGCACTACAGGTACCTGGATAATGAACACAGGGTTGTCCTTTCCAGTGTGTGATTCTTCAGCTACTGAACACAGTGGTGAGAGCATGGTGCTCTGTGTGTGTGTGTGTGTGTGTGTTTCTCCACCAAACTTCCTTGGTACAGTGACTTTTCTACTCATGTTCCCCACTCTGCCTTCCATTCTGCCTCCAAAGCCCTTTCCAGAGATTATCTCTGTGTTCCCCTACAATAAACCCACCCCCCTCTGTACTGAGGAGACTCTCCTTTCCCTAGTTGCCAATGAATATTGTTTTGTCCTCTCTTCCTCTTCTCTTTTCCTGGGGGAAAAAGAAGGTGCAGTGCATCAGCAGTAGCTTGGAACTTGGCTGAACCTTTCCCTTGAAAGCCTGTGGCTTTGAACATCCTGTGCTGGGACAGTCATTGCAGGTGCCCACTGCTTCTGTTCCTACAGGACATCAAAAGCACCTTCTACAAATACCAATGTACTTGGCAGCTGCTCTTTGCTTTGCTCCTTTGGCCAGGTTGCTTCCACCTGACTCCTGCTACCCTCCATCTGCAAAGGCATCCCTATAAGTTTGGGTAAGTGACTGCTGCTCTTCATATGGGCTACTGGGAGATTTGAGTCTGACCATCTCTGTAGGTCCTGAAATAGGAATGGATGGATTCTGAGCTCTATTTCCAAAACCCAGTCTCTGTTTCAGTGCAAGACTGAGAGCTCCTTTATGCCTTACACTTTCTGTTATGTAGTCAGCAATTCCTCACAGGAGCAGAAGGTGTCTCCTGAGTCATTGAGCCCTCTCTCCTGCGTTTGCATACAATTATTTTTCAAAAAGTGTCCACAAGAACATCAGGTCCAGACCCTTTCTCATACCAGTCCCAAAGCACCCTATAAAAAGCTCTACAGTATGCCATGGATGAAGAGTAGGGGAGAAGGGGCTATTGACAATGCCTCATTGCCTTCATGGTTTGTTTTTTATGGGTGATAGCAATGCCACTTTTAATTTATGGAGCCCTGCCTTCTGGGGAGTGCTTTGGGACATTAAAGAGTCAACTCCAACTTTCTAATGAAGTAGTATAACTTCACCCTTCTTGTATGGATAGGGAAACAGAGGCATTAGGGTAGTTACATTTTTAAGGTGTGTTTTAAAGGGTCAAGCTATAAAATCAGCTGCTGTGCATGAAGTCTTAGATACTCACTAGAGGATATGGTCAAGTATGTACAGAGGGAAAGGTCAAGAGCTTTATGCAGCTTTCTAGTTGCTGCTGCACTTTTAATCTCAAAAAGATATTTGCTCAGGCTGTGTGTGTATCAGGTGCTGTATATTTTACTTATGATTCAAACATTCAAAAGGTCAGGTGTCTCTCTTCAGCTAATCCAGGCTTTATTAATTAGGGATAATTATTTGTTTATACAGTGATTTTCTATTTTCTCATGTGCAGAGTAGAATTATAGATGATGATACAATTATTTATTCTATATTCCAGTCTGCAGTTTGCATGTGCTATGGAATTATGTGTTTAATTTTGAATGAAAGGGAAATAATCACATGCTATGTTGTGGTTCTGTTTATAAGGAATGATTAAAGATGGAAGCTATAAACATATTATGTAAACAAGCAGTAAGAGCTATAGAGAGTATCAAGAACATCAGTAGGAGGCATGAATATAAACCATAGTTATAAGTAATCTATTGATCTGATGGACTCCAGCATTTGTTTAACCATTGATTAAAATACTTTTCACTTTCAACCACTTTGTACAGTTTAGAAATGGAATCTTAACATAAAGCATGACCCTTCCTGGTTTAACTTAAACCAGAGTCCCCCCAGCATCCCAGATGCTTTGCAGCCCTGGGTTGGGCTCTCTGCTCCAGAGCAGGGCTGGCCCCACTCCTCTGCTCCCTTGCAGGAGCGCCAGCAGAGACTGCAGGCATGGTAGTGCCTGCCTGGCTTCCCCCTGCCCCGCCCCATACCTCCTCAGCACGGAAGTAGCCAGTATGTGGTATGGTAACTAATGCTGAGAGGTGTCTGTGTAAGGCAGGCAGGACAGAGTCTGCTTAGGGCTTTTTGGAGCTAATCAACAAGTTAGCTGGTAATGTCCCTCCATTCCTTCCTTGGAAAAATTTGCTTAAGAAGAGCTTGAACTAATGAGAGGCTTTTGTTTTCCTGATGGAGTGCTAAATGCTGTGTTATCAACTCCCTCACTGGACAGGAACAGCAAGGTGGAGGGGAACCCCTCCCTAATCAGAGCGTCCTGCCAGGGCCTGGACACATTCTCCCTCAGCTCAGCACTGTGGAAGGGAAGGAAGGGCTGCTCTAGCATCCCCCAGCTTCTAGCCTGAGCCTCTGCAGGCATATGCCTACATTTTCTCACTCCAGAGGGAATGTCTTTACAGTTGCCAACTGGTTCAACCTTGCCAGTTTAGATTAACCTGCAAAGACAATCAATTCAGGGTCAGGCTTTTTGAATGTCTGTTCCTAGCCTAGGACAGTAGTATCATGGATCCTCCAATTTACACATTTTTTTCTCCTTTATATATGTTAGGATGGTAATAGTTAACAATGTAACCTATGAAGTTTCAGCAGGATGAATCCTGCCACTGCTATACTCTTGCTTTGCAAAGCCAGGTTATGACAGCTACCTGACACTTCTAGAACAGAACTATTCTAGAATAGAAGCAAAAAACCCCAAAACAAACAATCTCCCCATTTCTCTGAGAAGGGAGCTTTAATTTTATCCACAGTTTCTTTGATCATCAATTTAGGTGGCTTACCTCTGTTTTACATGATTTGTTGCTGAAAGCTATGCCAATACCTAAATAAAAAATCTGTATAATTAGTTCTGATTCTTTACAGAGTTTTGTCTGCACAGCTCCTAAAACTATGGCCAGCTTTTCAGGAGTAACCAGTGATTTGGGTACTTCAGTTTTTGGAAGCCCAGTTTGAGAGACCTTAAAGGTACTAGCTTCTCAGAAAATGCTGAATGCCTGCTTTTCAAAAATCATTTCCCTATGAAAGTGCTATAAACAAGGAACTGAAAATAGTCAAATAGATTTGAAGATTTTTGCCTAAGGTATTAAACCAGAGATTATATTTCTTTATTGTACCTTATGGATTGAATTTGGTGGCAGCAACTTTACTGGAACTGATAAAACATTCACTGGCCTTAATGGAGTTGTATCTGCATACAACAGGGTTCAGTGAGAGTCCATATATTTTGAAGCTTCACCTCATCTAGAATTAAAAACATGGGACAGGAAAATAGAACTTTCCTTGCAATTACTTGCAGTGTTTTTATTTTGTACCGCTGGACATTTATCAGTGTTTTTTTCCTAAAAAGGGAAGGGCAGAGTGGACTTGGGGGGAGGGAGAGAAATGGTTGGAGACAGGTCTGATGGGGATGAAGCAGAAGAAAATATGATAGGAGGCTCAACAAGGAAGGATTGTCTGCAGTTGAACTGACATAGGAATATGTCTGCAGTCTGTACCAAATTTATTGCATCATTATTTATTTTCAAATGTTGCTCAGGAGCTACACCTCATGGAATGGACTTTTTGTATTCATGAGGGTGGCCAGGAAGACAAATGACACTTTCTTATTCAATCTTCTTTGCAACATTCATCGGGCACATCACTGTTGAAAATAAGTTACTTTTCCAGGGATGTAAAGTATTGCAACTATCTCTGCACTTTTACCCTTACAATAGTTCATTTAGTCATCAAGAATACAACATTTTTGGGTGCCTCATAGGGTTCAGAGCAGAGTTTATCACAAAAATGATTCTGGAAGTTAACCTCCTTACAGCTATGGATGCAGCTAGCATCTCTGTTCATACTGCTGGGCTTTTATACAGCCTTTGGCACAGTGAACCACAAGTTACTGCTACCCTAACTATATGATCAAGCAAAAGGATAGATGACCAATTACTAATTCGGTGATGGTAAGCATTTCTTCACTCTGAAGTCCTTCAGCTGCAGGGTACTTTAAAGCAGTGGGGGCCAATCTTTTTGGCACAAATGCCACAAATTAGTCCTACAACCTCTCTGAATGCCACTCTGATCCCCCACTTCCATGCCCCTCTGCTGCTCTGCTTTCATCCCTGTGCTCTCTACCCCATCTGCTACTCTGCCTTTTGTTTCCTGCCCTATCTGCCATGGTGTTGCTTGTATGCTGCCTGATCTGCCAAATGCCACACCCACAGGCCGCCCTTGCCAATTGTGGCATATGTGCTGCAGGTTGGCCAGACCTGTTTTAAGAGAGCCAAACTGTCCTCACTTTTCTTTAACATGAGGCCACTGGGAAACATAGTAAGAAGCACAGAAAGCCACAGGAGAACTTCACTAACTCAGTGTGTCAGTGACTTAGAGCTGTGTCTCATTCTCTCTTATTATGTCTACCACCCCTAGTACTACAATATGAAAATGACCACAAGATACCAGCTGTCTCATGACCATGTAACATTGTACTTTGCCTCCGGCTTGAAAAGCTTTTGTCTTTTTCTTCTGGATGAAGATCTGACCACAGCTATCTGTGCATCTGTCTCCTCCAGGCTGGATTAATGTAACTCATGATATCTGTGTTTCAGCAGAATGTGAAGATGATGCTCAGGCTGGTACAGAATGTGCCTCTCCATCTCCTTGATGGCTGAATTCACTTTAAACATGTCAGACCCATGCTCAAGTCCCTTTGATTGATCCCAATCAGTTTCCAATGCCAGTTGAAGAGATTTTTCCTCATTTTCAATGCAGTAAGTGGCCCCAGATTGGGGTATGGTGGCAGAATGTCTAAGGCATCTTGCTATGGCTCCCAGAGTGTCAGTTCATGCCCCAGTCTGGTCTCAGTATAAAAGCTGTCCCCTGTTGACTCAGCTGTAGATAGGTACCTGTTCATTCAAGTTGGTCAGTTATAGGCAATGGACAAGCATTGCTTCT